TACACTCCACACAGTGTACTTGTACACTCAACACATTGCATTTCTACACTCCATACAGAGCCCTTCTACAATGCACACAGAGTTCTTTTGCACAATTAAACAATTATGTAAAAAAAAAAAAAAATTAGAGACTCTTGAATTTAGACCACGATTCTATATATAGTCCACACATTAACCATCATGATCTCAACATAGCTGCCGTGCCCTCACTTGAAAAATAACATTAAAATCAAGTCCTGTTTCTCGCTTACTTGCCGTCTGTTGCGCTGTAAAGGGACGAGACCCGGATGTAGATTAAAGGCGTATACTTCCGGACAACACACCTCACTGTCAAATTGTTAGCATTGCACTCACCGTCGAGACGAAAAGAACCTTAATAAATATTATGAAATCGTTCGTCTCTAACAAAATAAAGTCAATGATGGAGCAACTTAAAGAGACGGTGTTCATTATTTTGATTGCGTTCAATGTAAGTAAAATTTCCATGCATATGGTTTATTAGATTTCGGTAGGATGTATTCATTCATTCTATATACTAAATCTCTTGCCGTCTATATTGTTTCAATGAGAATATAGCTTTCAAGCTTAAAATTGGTAGCACAGTGTGTTTAACAATCATCTAGTTGATTTAACATACACACAATTTATATAACAACCACACATTATTTTAAGCAATAACACATGTTGTTTAACAATCACCTAATTTGTTTAACAATCACACAATTATTTTAACAGTCATGCAATTAGTTTCACAGTAACACAATTTGTTGAATAGATTATTTTGTCCAGAAAATGATGACTTGATAAAATAATGTTTCCATTCATTTAGTCCAGATGCTGGGCAGTGTCCAGTAAAACTTTAAATGGCGTCTACCAATGTATCAAAAAAATTACTGCCCGGGGGCGGACTAATGAATAAACTTGTCTTTGTGAGGTGGAGGCCATTTTATCGCTTGATTCTCTATCTAGATCTCCCGCTGATAATGTCTAGCGAGAGTGCCCCTTCACCCACTTCACCCCCTCTCATACACTTTCACCCCCCTTCACACACCACCTCCTTTCACCATCTTCCCACGGCACTCTGTCCCTGACTAAAAATTGACAACAGAACCAACACTTAACATATCACTCACTATAACATTAGAAAAGTGTTATGAAAATGGTATCTTCAATTTCTTTAATAACATAAAAATAACGAGATGAATTGTCGCAAGATGAAGTTTATTTAAACACTTTTGAAGAATTAAGTAAATCTAGATATAGCCCACCAAACATAGGTGACAGCAATGCGTGAACTTCCCATCTACTAAAGTTACTTGACAAAACATAAACTCAAGTAACGCACATTTAAAAGAATCCCAATATTTGCTACACCCTTTCCCCCATGATACGTCACTGCACACTTGTTATTTCACTCCCACGAACTATATTAATATTCTCATGTCCAAACCACTTGTAAACCGAATATTTTTTAAACAGTACTTCAATTGTGACGATTTCATTTCAGAAAAAAAAATATTACGCACCAAACGCAATTGCATTATTAAAAAATATTATATATATATACCATTTAGCGCAGTTATCGAGAATTCTATTTTACGCGCTAGTGAACTCATTATTGAACAACGCTCTGGGGCATCTATACATAGCCTGCGTGATGTTTGACTCGTCTTTTTTTACATTTGCTGGCGAATTATATTTATCGATATATCATTTAGCCTAGTTATCGGCAATTATAATTTGCTCTCTAGTAAACTCATTATTAACCACACTCTGGGGTTTCTATATATGGGCTGCTTGGTGGTGTTATATATATATATATATATATATATATATATATATATATATAGAGAGAGAGAGAGAGAGAGAGAAAGAGAGAGAGAGAGAGAAATATTGTTTTGAGGTGTGAAAAATGCAAAAGCTAACATGATATTTAACTAAGTAACTATGGTTTTCATGTCAAGATTTTGTTATAGTTTATCGTATGCCTATATTATTCCATCTCTAACGTGGGTTAGCTTTAAGCTTTTTCTTTTCAAAAATCCCGACACTATAAAAAATATCTATGATTATCCGCCCTTTGATGTCTCGGTATCGGGTTCATTGAAAAAAAACCTCCATCCTATTTGAAGCATTTCATTTTTCCCGTTAACTGGTTCATTTGTAGAGACTGACCGCTTTCGGCTTCGGCTTCGGTTTTGGCGCCGAAAGTGGCCATTTATCACTTTCGGCCAAGTTTCATTTTCGTCCGAAACTTAAAAGTTAACTTTCGGCTTAATTTCGGTTTCGGCCGAAAATGATTTAGAATTTCGCCCATCTGGCTGAAAGTGACTGAGGTTTTCGGTCATCTAATACTCAGCGAAAGCGATATTTAAAAACAAACTAAGCGTCATTTAAGAACAAACTAAACGATCTTTAAGAACAAATTAAGCGATATTTGATAACAAACTAAACAATATTTAAGAACAAACTAAGCGACATTTAAGAACAAACTAAACGATCTTCAAATTAAGCTATCTTTAAGAAAAATCTAAGCGATCTTTAAGAACAAACTAAACGATCTTAAAGAAAAAATAAAACGATTTTTAAGAACTAACTAAATGATCTTTAAGAAAAATGAAAATGATCTTTAATAGTAAACTAAATTATTTATAAGAATAAACTAAGTGATCTTTAGCAGAAAACTAGATGTTATTTACGAACAAACTAAAATATATTTTAGAACAAACTAAATTATCTTTAAAAAAACTAAGTGATATTTAAAAACAAAAACAATGATCTTTAATAACAAACTAAGCTTTCTTTATGAACACCAAACGATCTTTTAATAACACAAACTAAGCGATCTTTAAGAAAAGTCCTAGCTATATATTTTGAACAAACTAAAGGATGTTTAAGAACAAACTTAAAGATCTTTAAACAAAATCAAAGCGATATTTAAGTTCAAACTAAGCGATCTTAATGAACTAAACGAATTTTAACAACAAACTAAATGATCTTTAAAAACTAACTAAGCAATCTTTAAGAAAAAATTAAGCGATCTTTATGATTAAACTGAGCGATCTCTTAGAACAAACTTAGCGCTCTTTATTAACAAACTCAACGATCTATGAGAACAAACAAATCGATCATTTACAACAAAGTAAACGATCTTTAACAACAAACCAAGTGATCTTTATGAAGAAGCTAACCGATCTTTAAGAACGAATAAAGCGATCATTAACAAAAAACTAAACGATCTTTAACAACAAACTAAGCGATCTTTAAGAACAAACTTAACGATCTTTAGCAACAAACTAAGTGATCTTTTAGAACAAACTAAGCAATCGTTATGAATAAACTCATCGATCTTTAAGAACTAACCGATCATTACCAACAAGTTAAACGATCTTTAAGAACAAACTTAACGATCTTTAAGAGCAAACTAAATGATATTTGAGAACAAGCTATGCCATCTTTAAGAACAAATTAAACGCTATTTAAATACAAATAAAGCGATCTTTAAGAACAAATAAAGCGATCCTTTAGAAGCATGATCAGAACAACAATTTTAAGTGACCCGGTTTGAAATATAATTTTCACCACCAATGGGGGTGAGGGAGGTAAGTCTCCGAAAGAAATAATTACGTCACCAGCACGGAAAAACTGGAGTGTTGTTATTAGGCTGAATATTATTAAAATGATATCTTGCAAGCTATTAATGAAAACACAAAGCATTAGTATTACGAAAACAGTGAAACATTATGTTGATATTTTTATAGCCTCAATAACATGTATTTAGGTGGTAATTGTGTCTATTAGAGCCACAATAATTGTAGTAGGTATATAATCTAATTTGTAATTATATTATACAAGCAAAGACACCCAAAAGTCTATTTTGCATTAATTTTGCCTCCTCCATTTTGCCAAATTTTCTCCTTCGATTCAATTTTTTAAATTAAATTTAAGCAATTTAAATTACTTTATATTAAAATTTAAAATCCAAAATATTGATTAGATCAAGGGTCTCAAACTCAAATCATCAGGGGGGACAGTAGTGGTAGTGTCTGAGTGAGAGTGGGCCTCATCAAGTACTCTACAAAAAAAGCGATTACAACTGTTACAATCTGCTCAACCTTTGTAAATAATAAAAACTTTAAGGGTTCTCAAGAAATAGGATGCATTTTCTTCCACCTACTCACTGTTGCCAGAGACGTGGCAGCGCTTCTTGTTACACAGCTGAGCAACTTTGGTTTAAGTTAGGAAACAACTAAGACTCTCAGTATAGCTTGAAGATCAGTAACTTCAGCCCCGAACTTTAACTTGTTAAATTTCATAGTGGAAAAGAGCTATTCACACAGACAGGTGCTCCCAAAAAGTCGTAAGTTCCGCTTGAAGAACCTAAAAATTTCAGGGAAGGAGGAGGGCAATGCCATAAAATGTCCATGTTTGTCTGTTTTCCTAATCAGCTGCCGTTATTCATAAAAAGGATGTAAATATTTATCATTTCCCCCATCATTTTAGATGTATGCAGAATGTATGCGGGAACGAATTTTAAAATATCTAAACATTTCATTTTGGATTTCGGCTTCGGTTTCGGCCGAAAGTCATTTTAAACTTTCGGCCTTTTTCGGTTTCGGCCGAAAGTCATTTTGAAATTTCGGCCTTTTTCGGCTTCGGCTGAAATCAGAAAATCACTTTCGGTCTGTCTCTAGGCAGCTGTATATTCAATAGATTTTTAGCAAATTAGATCTGCTATTTTTATATCATATATCGTGAAAAGTAAATAATCGTACCTTTAAATTATGAATTGCTTCTTTCAAGCCCAAAATTGCGCCCACCTATATAAAAGAAAAAAAAAAAAAACATTCCTTCAAAATAAGTTTTTTGGTATAAATGTTTTATATGCATTTTTTGGTAGAAAATATTAAATTGCTAAGTTACGTCACAAAGAATATAATCAAAAAGCATAGACAACCATCAAGGTTAGTTTAACATTTTGATTCATAAGACCAACATGGAGCCCAACCAACATGGAGTACGACCTAACAGCACACAAACATGACGTCACAACACAAGAAGCTATGTGGTGTGCAAAACAAGGCATAATTTGGTCATTTTCAAACATGTCTGTTTGCGTTTATGTAGTTGTACTTGATTTATTATTTGTTAAGAAGCGTTTGTGTTAAAGGGTAAACTTCTGGCAAAATAATATTTTATATTTCCTTCATTTTCCCCTTTTTTAAAAACTGCATACCCAAAACATCAAATATGATAAGCACATAGCATCAGCTGCTCACTGAATCTCAACACAAAAGCACGTACTCATGGAACAAATGATTTATCTTACCCTTAGAAACAGGAAAAACTTTCTGCGGGTTTTGGGAGTAGAAAAGTGTATGTTGTCATCAACAATGAGTTTATTTCCCCAGTTTCAGGTCGATAGGATGACGTGATGTGGGTCAATTAGCCATCAAGGAGATTGATCATTAACACAAACCAAAACGAAGTAAAAATAAATGAATAAAAAAACGTACACTCCAACTTAATGCGCCACTGTGTCTGGTGCTACGGACGTCAAAGAATTACAAGGAACATATTAACCCCATGCGCGATAAATGTAACCTTTAGTACACATTTTGAGATAGGGTTATCCTAAAACGTATTGATGAATTTGGAAACAATTTGAGTTATCTTGCCATTCACATTTATTCATACGTATATTTGGATCTGAAGAAGGTTTGTCGCAAGGTTTGTCGCAAGGTTTGTGAAATTCTGAAGCAGATTTCACTCCCCGGTTCTGCTTGTTAAGGTGCTTCTCATATTTCAATGTTTTTTTTTTTAAAATTAAGTTATTAAGTCAGTGCGTCGTGAATGCATTGGGGATGTGTCTCAATAAGATATCGTAGTACATTTTTCTTGGAGAAGAAGAATCTTTGTAACTCAGTATTAGATGCAGGAGATTTTGAAGAACATTTTCTCAGATCTCTAGAAGATGAATATGGTTAAGTTCATAAAGTAATACAAGAGCAGCAAGGAGTATAAGATAGCAAAAATATTGGTGACCAAACGCAGCGCTGCTTCGATCTGCAATTTAATTAATAGATCCTTAGTGCCCCTCCAAAGAACAATGATCTGTTCATTAAATGTCTGAACAGGAATGCTGTTAAGGGTCTTGGAAACAAATAATTCATGACAACCTTGCCAATCCAGTCTGGTTGAACATTATAATTTTTTTAATAAATTAAACAAAACGTAATGTGGAATCTGATGTTTGACACTTTTGACTACTTTTAGTTTCATTTTTAGATACATTTACTATTCAGGTAAATATAGAAAGGTAGCAACTATTTTCAAAATTTCGCAATTGAACCAGATTGAGAACACCTGTTCTGAACACAAAAATGATTCATTCCAATTTTAAATATTTCTATAAAAAAATAACAGGTTTTTCTTCATTTAGAAACCATATTTCAATTACAGCTGTTTCATTTGAGTGGTTCTCAACCCCCATGCATCACACCACCACTTCCCAGCCTCAAGGCCCAAGGCGAATTCTGCAAAGATTCATCAGAATGTGCATCTTATGTCTGCAAGAATAACGTGTGTACCTGCCCTGAAAGTACCTATTTTGACCTTTGCACCCAGTCCTGTGTCAACAGTAAGTGCCAGCGTTGTACTCAGATAGTTCATTTCAAGCATGATATTTGGAAACTTGTGAACTGCTAACACAATTTGTTTAAATAATATTTTTCAATTATCTTTACATGACATGATCATTGTGACCTATTTAATTTTTTTTTTCCTATTTTTTTTTTTATTCCAGTTGTTTATTTCAGGCTGAATTCAGTTTTTGAATGTTTTATTTTGTTCAAAGCCCAAAAAGAATGATCCACATTTTCAAAAAAAATTATTCTTAATAAAATTTTCAGGAATTTATTCAATCTAATTTCAAGTTTAGCTTGAATGGGTAGATTCATTTTATTATCTTAACACTCTTTCGATATATGTACATATAATCTATCATTAGTGTTATTACAGAACTTGACTCTGTCTTTATATGTGTGTATAACATTACCATACGCGTGGTTTCACATTTTGAGCCTCATTTAATATGTGTGCATTAAAGTTAACATAAGTGTTATTCCAGATTTTCAATGCAAAGACTTAAGTATCACACAACTTGTTTACCATTTAGACTGTAACTCGACTGTTAAAGTTGAGACTTCAGGACACATTGTGAGATTGCCTCAGCCAAGCACATCTCAACAGTCCCAGTACTGCACATGGTCACTCGAGGCGCCAGCTGGTAGCTTTATTTTGTTCAGGTCAGTTTTATGTTTTTAAGCTGAGTTAAACCTCAACTCTTTTTTTACGCAGAGACTTTTTGACCTACCTATTTAAGAATATTCTGCAATTTATCATCATTCAGATCCAATGCCGTTTGGTTCATTTGCCATTCAGCATGTGGTTGTTATGAAGAATTTACACACACTCGGTGGGAACTTAAAATCAAAGGTTCACTAAATTGTTTGGTATTAAAATTATGTGTGTTATTTTTGTTCGCAATTCTTTCATTTTAAAATCAGTATTTCGACTACAGAAGTGCTTTGTCTCGATAGAAGTGTATCCGTCTCGATAGAAGTGTACTTGTCTCTAAAGAAGTTCTCTTGTCTCGATAGAAGTGTACTTGTCTCTAGAGAGGCGTTATTGTCTCAATAGAAATGTACTTGCCACAAAAGATGCTTACTTGGTATTGTCACGATAGGCGGGTACTTGTTTCGCTTATGTGTCCAATGTATCGCCCCTCATCGTCATTTGGGTACACTACCAATTCGAATGAGTGAAACTTGCTTAGATCACCAACATCTTTTTTACTTACAGAACTTCCTATTTAGATCTTAAATCTTCTGATACTTGTTCGACCGATTTCATTGAGGTATACGATGGTCAAGGGCCACGGTATCGATTCTGTCAAAGTAACGAAACCGATCCTAAAGTGGTAGCATCCGCAAGCAACACACTTGACATTACTTACCAAGAGAGTTCACCAGGCCACTACGGATTCATTGGATCTTACTATTTATATAGTTAGTAAATATTTTAAATATTTTTTTTTTTAAATTTATGATACATACTTTGTTAGAAACATATTTAAACAAAATAATAATTGAAGTATTTATTAGTTGAAGCTGCTGATTTTCCTTTGTCCATTCGTTGAAGCTAAGCTACTTGTTACCCAGCTCAAGTAGATGCACATATAATTGTATAGAACGGAAGGATTAAGTGATACGGCATTACATTGTTATACAGCATTATATCTTGATACAGGGCTACATCTTGATACAGGGTTACATCTTGATACAGGGCTACATCTTGATACAGGGCTACATCTTGCTTGATACAGGGCTACATCTTGATACAGGGTTACATCTTGATACAGGGCTACATCTTGATACAGCATTACATCTTGATACAGGGCTACATCTTGATACAGCATTACATCTTGATACAGCATTACATCTTGATACAGGGCTACATCTTGATACAGGGCTACATCTTGCTTGACACAGGGCTACATCTTGATACAGGGTTACATCTTGATACAGGGCTACATCTTGATACAGCATTACATTCTTGATACAGGGCTACATCTTTATACAGCATTACATCTTGATACAGCACTACATCTTGATACAGGGCTACATCTTGATACAGCATTACATCTTGATACAGCACTACATCTTGATACAGGGCTACATCTTGATACAGCATTACATCTTGATACAGGGTTACATCTTGATACAGGGCTACATATTGATACAGCATTACATCTTGATACAGCATTACATCTTGATACAGGGCTACATCTTGATACATAATTACATCTTGATACAGGGCTACATCTTGATACAGCATTACATCTTTATACAGCACTACATCTTGATACAGGGCTACATCTTGATACAGCATTACATCTTGATACAGGGCTACATCTTGATACAGGGTTACATCTTGATACAGGGCTACATATTGATACAGCATTACATCTTGATACAGCATTAAATCTTGATACAGGGCTACATATTGATAGAGGGCTACATCTTGATACAGCATTACATCTTGATAAATCGTTACATCTTGATACAGAGTTACATCTTGATACAGGGCTACATCTTGATACAGGGTTACATCTTGATACAGCATTACATCTTGATACAACATAACATCTTGATACAGCATTAGATCTTGATAAATCGTTACATACTGATACAGGGTTAAATCTTTTGTTTTAATATTATGATGGTCATACTGGTGGAATTGTTTCTTTTTTTTTTACTCTGCGGGTGGAGTATTGATGAGCCAGCAGTCATCAACTATTAGAAAAATCTCATTATTTATCTGATCCCCCTCCTACAATGAACTTACTATAAACATAACAATTGTTTGTGTAATTTATGAGCTTGCGTTGCGGTATCAACTACATATTGCCAACCTAACACATATTTTAAGTTACTAGATACTGGGCCCTTTTCTAGAGACTAATTTCATTACATCTCCAATATCTTGTTCCTGCAACCACTTGAATAAAATCAAACAGATTGTCTTAAAACATGCCAGCCGAAACATCTTTAGCAACTTGGACTTTGACATAATTCAAATCTTCCTTCAAAATTAGACCTACTTAAATAAAAAAAAAATATCTACTGATAGCTGTTTAACAGTACCATAGACAGTGAAAATTATTCCACTTAAAAAAAAAATCTGATGTCTCATGGTATGAACACTATTAATTTATTTATTTATTTTTAATTATATTCGTTTATTTATTTTTTTTTATAAACGAGGAAAAAGTGAATCATGAAATAAAACATCATAAATAGAGGTTTAAAAATTTAAAAACTATTGACACCTTGAATTAATACGATACAAGTTAATGAATCTTATTTACAGCACACAACTCGGTGACACGTGACAGGTTTGGTTACATCGCTAGTCCAAGATACCCTCAAAAGTATCCTCCCAATTATGTGGTGTCATGGACCATTGATGGTGGGGAGGAAGTCGTGACCTT